AAATCTTAGCCAACAAAATTTTGTTTTAAGTTTCAGCCCCACAGCAACTCGACTCCACAGTCCAATCCCCTTGCAAATGGCAATGGATATAAAGTTTGTGAGACTTACTCCAGTAAACTTGGAAGAGATCCCTTCAATGTATAGACATCCATTTGTTAACAAAACAATAAAACCCAGGGAAAATCATCTTAGATTTGTTGGAATGTAAATACTGTTCCTTCCATTCCTCATGGCAGCGTGAGACACAGTTCAATTCCCCCTAGGGAATGGTACGCCATTAATCACCTTCAAAATGGATTGTTCCACCTCACCGTTTTTGCTGAGGCATAAGGTTAGGCTGGAAAACTGTTTCCAGTCCCACATGCTCCTCATTTGGGGAAAATCTTACACTGGACAGGAGCCAGCTCTCACTTATCTGCCTTGCTTCCAGCTGCTGAGAAGAAAAATGTTTTTCATTTGTTTGCCGTGTTGCGTTTTCTTTTTCTTTTAAAGCATCTAAGAAGAAATGAGAGAGAATCCACTTATCTCTTGTTACACAATGCTTCAGCAATAAGCCACAGCAGGCAACGTGTATACTGGGCAGCTCCATGCCCTGGCAGTGCCATTATCACGTTGGGATTATAAAATGGCCCTCTGCACAATGTTAATAAGAAAAGAAGGAGAAAGGATTATCATTTTTTCTGAAAAGAGCATGGATTATTATGCCAATAAACACTGACAATATTTTCCTACACTGGATTTGTTTGTAGTATCTCAATCTACATATGCATTTAAGCTAAGGCCTATCCTAAAGCCCACTGAAGCTAGTGGAAGATTTTGCGCTGACTTCAAAGGGTTTCATAACAGGCCCCTCATGCTTTACAATCACATTTCATTTTATTTATTGTTAAAAGCATCTTCATTAAATTGTCTTTACTGAAGACTGAAGTTGTATCCCTCATGGCCAAATCCCTTCTCAAAGCCCAGACCCACTAGCAGCACTCCTGATTTTTTTCTAACATTGACAAGGAATTTGATTTTTTTTCATGATGATTTCAATTGGTTAACGCATTACATTGGGCTTCCAGCTGCTTAGGAAATATGGCAATCTCTCACTAATTCTCAAAGCTCTGGAGTGAACTGAACCAGCTTTACAGAGTTCTTGTGGCTGATGAGATGCTGGACTTGAAAAATCTCATTGTTCTCATTACCATTTGGTCTCTCCGCCTTCAGTTATGACCCAATTTTAATAGTCTCTTTCTTTTGAGAGCTGTTACAGATAGAAGCTATGTTCTGTGCCAGCTGAAAATGTCCAGTTTTTTAATCATATAAAGCATTCAGGTCATATTTCAAGTAGACATTCTTGTGGGCCCTTCTGGGATTAATGACCATTACATGGTTATCTACATCAGCAGGGCTCTGAACTCAATAACGCTATTGGTCCATTTTAGTCCTACCGTGCTGCTCAGTGAAAATAAAATGGGTCCAGATTCTCTATAGTGCATCCCTACTTTCCTTTGGCTGGCTTAGAATAATAGAAAATGAGGGCTTGAAGGGACCTCAGGAGGTCACATCTAGTCCAAACCCCTGCTCAAAGCAGGACCAGCCACAACTAGATCATCCCAGCCAAGATGTTGTCTAGCCAGGTCTTAAAAACCTCTAAGGTTAGATAGTCCACCACCTCTCTGGGTAATCTGTTTCAGTGTTTTACTACCCTCCTCATAAGAGAGTTTTTCCTTATATCTAAACTTAACCTCTTTTGCTGAAACTTGAGATGATTGCTCCTTGTTCTGTCATCTGCCACCGCTGAGAACAGTCCAGCTCCATCCTCTTTGGAAACACCTTCAGGTAGTTAAAGACTGCAATTAAATCCCCTCTCAGTCTTCTGTTCTGCAAACTAAACAAGCCCAGTTCCCTCAGCCTCTCCTCAGAAGTCATGTATATTATTAGACTAGCTATATATAGTCATATATATTAAAGACTACATTATAGATAAACTATACTGTGGATCATGGCACAAGAAAGAAGGCAGTTTCCAAGGAACCCCTATTCTCCCTTGGGTGGTTGGGGAACTGCTATGCTGGCAAGGATATACAGTTTGGGGCTGGCAGAGATGACTTCCCATTCTAATCAACAAGAGAACCAGGGGCCAGCCAGTGATATTCTGTGGTCACTGGGTTTTGAACAAGTTCCACATAACACCCACACATTAAGGGATTATGGTTCATGACTTTCCAGGATGGAGGAACACTGGCAGGACATGTGCAAATGAATTGAAAACCAGTACACATTCCTCAGCTCTACCACCCAGACCAATGATGAGGGGAGAAAAATATTTAGCCTTGGCACCAGTCCTTACTTTGCAGCAACACCACCTGAACCCAGTGTGCTATCTGAAGGGCATTAACACTCATCTTGGTCCTGCATCGTCCATTGCAACGGTCCACCTGAGTTCATGTGATCTATACTGACTTACATCAGCTCAGAACCCAGCCCTATATTCACAATGCCCAGAGTAAACTATTGCAGCTAAGGCCTATGCTTTCAAACATGCCTAGTGATTTTCAAGTGCCAAACTCAGACATTTCTCCTCTTTATAAAAATCTGCTCTCTCTCAGCTTCTTCAAACAGCCCCCCGCACAAACTGAGGTACTTAAAATCACTTGCATGTTTTAGTCAATTTTTTCAAGTATTATGTCCCTCCCAATGACACCCAGCATGGTTATCCACCTTCACTTGTGGATATTCCTAGGTAAATGGTTTTCTACTGCAGCCAGCAACACTGCAACGCTGACAACGGGGAAAGGGATAGCACATCATTCTAGCAACAGAGTCTGACTCCTAAGGCAGGTAACTACAAAGGAACAACTGAGATCTTTCAGCCTGCAGGTCTAGTGAGCTGGACATCCCCACAGCTTGCCCCATCTTACAAAGATGTCATTCTAGCTCATTAGCTGGAACATTAAGTTTTCAGTGCCCCTAAAGGTTACGACGTCAGGAGTATCAGGAAAACTTCTCCTTCAAGACGGGGTTGCTGAGGAGAGGACTTTCTTTTGCTCACGTCTTTAGCATTATTTTCTCATGGTGCATTTGTTAAGCAGCAGGTGGAAGCAGTCAGCTCTGCACAACTACTAATGAATGGAGCTGCCCCATCCCCACCTCCTTTTTTCACCCTGGGTCTCAAAGCCCCACCAACCCTGGCTCCCATAGCTGTTTAAAACACTGTTCATCTTTTCAACGTGGTTTTAATTGGTGTGTCTTGCCCACCAGGCTTGTGAAAGCAGGGGGAAGGCAGAAAGGTCTCCTTGGCTTGAAACTTACGCTTTTTAAATTTAAAAGACATCAATTAATAAAATATTCCTCATTGTTCGAAGGTCAGGTCTGGCAGTCAAGCCTCATGATCAAATGAGTGGCTTTTCCTAGGGATGTGGAATCTCATTAATGTATGCTCATGCAGACTGAGGGGAAGCAAAATAAGGCAGAAAGGAACCATTTCATATATTTTATTGTATTGATAGATCTGGCACAAGGTGGATAGACCCTGTTGTGCAACTGCATTTTACCCTGCCTACCCCACTAATTAGATTTATTCTTTTTCTTTGTGTGTACATGGCCTTCATTTTCTAGAGAATCTCCATTGATTTCAGCGGGATTCAGGGCAAAATGGCTTTTTGACACTACATGAGGATGATTTTATGCAGATGTATAATCCTCTTTTTTTTAAACTCCTGGAGTTTAAATTACTGTGGCCTTGAAGCCAATAGTGTTGTTCCACATTTGCACCTGTGTACCTAAGAACAGAGTTTAGCCCTTTGTTGATAAACTCATGAATTACAATCAAAGCATTCATTTTAATAGAGGGTTCAGGCTATATCCACTCGGAGGAAATTGTACTGCAATAACCTACTTATGCGTAATAGAAATGCCCTTAATGAAAACTTCTTATTGCAGTATATGATGTGTTCCCTCCCCAAGGGGCACTTCTTTGATGACTTAGTATTATATTTATTGTTTCTGCACAACCATGAATGTGCATGGCATTTCACAGAAAACAACACCCCTGCCACTAAGAGGTTACAATATCCCTGCCCTTTCAGCAACCCCTAACACACACAGTATGATGAGGTTAAATACCAAGTATTCAAGATAGGGAATCTAAGTAGCTGCACGGAGATATATTGGGCCTCGGGTTCTTTTTCCATCTCTTCTTCATGAATGTGCTATGTAGTGATGACTCAAACTCAAGTTATATAAAGGATATAGGAGAATTAACAAAGTGGAAACAGTTATGGCAATGTACCCTCAATAGTACTTAGAAATCAATAATCAGGGAATAAATCAATGAAAGAAATGGCCTAAAAGTATAGCATGGTTAAATAATGAATGATTCTCCACCAAATCAGTGGTACATTCCCTTCCCACTCCCATGTTCTCACAATGCTTGAGGACAGTGCATATGAAGGGCCTGTTTTTCAAATACTGTACACAATTCACATCCACAGTCACCTTGGTCATTTGTTTAAATGGAAAATTTGCAAATGAGCCGTAAGATATTGTTCCAACCATTCTTTGGGCTTGCCTGGCTGGCTGTGTGGTTGTGGTGTTTGCATTTGCAAATCAGTTGTACGTTTATCTAGGCATCTTTGTATACATTTTTTTAAAGGGCAGGGATAATTTATGATATCTTTGATTGACCCAACTGTATAGCTGGGAGAGCTGTTAGAAAAGCTTCTGGGCTCTTCAGGGACTCTTCCTCAGATTGTTGGGTTGTTTGTTTTTTTAAAATCTAGTAAAAATTATGCTAGTTGTTCAAGTATCCTCCAACATTGTTTCCTTCTGAGAGCAGTCTCAGGGCACTAAGGTGCCTGCTACTTGTAGAGCCAGAGTAACTACGCAGGTGCTGGTTGCTAGGGTAACCGGAGGGAGCTAGTGACTCACATCTGCTTGGTCAGCTGACCAGAAAGGCAGGGCCTGGCGCCTATATAAAGTACAGGCTGGAGGCCAGGAGGCAGTTCCCTGCTGGCAGCCAAGGGGGAAGGAGCCCTGCTGGAATGAGCAAAAGAGAAGGGGCCAGACTGCAGGTATGGCCTGAGATTTGGGGACAGCTGAAGCAACTCTGGTATGGCAAGACGAGGTTGGAGCCAGATGGCTTAGATTTTATGTTATAGTCCAGGGGCTTGTGTTTTGTTTTGCTGTTTGTTACCAGTAGCTGGGGAGAGGCTATATGGGGATGGAGGAGGCCTCAGAAGGGGACTCATGGTAGTGTGGGGACCCCAGCACCAGCGTGGGCATAGCATTCAGAGTGCACTGACCCCCAGCCCCAGAGAGAGGGGACAGTGTCAGACAGGGCTGCAGAAAGCCCGAGCGCCAGTGAAGGTGCAGAGTGAGGCAGGGCCGCAGAGGGCCCAGTGAGGACAAGGGGGCCAGATTACAACAAGGCCCGGACAACAACGGCGGTACCATTGGCAAGGCGTGGGCTGTGGTGTAGGGGGAGGAAATGGAGCCACAGATAGAGCCCCCTGGCATCGGGGCAGTAAAAGGGCAGCCTCCTGCTAACTAACATCAATTAATCAATTAACAACAAGGCATGGCAGGAAAGAAGGTGGGTGGTTGGCCCAGGAACAGGTGTGTGGGCCATGTTTAGATCAGCCCAGAGCAGGCACCAGTTACAGGCACCCAAAACTGAGGAAATCCTCTTGACAGCCTCACTCGGTTGTTGGTGATCAACTTGGCCATACTATTTGTACCCGCTAGAGAAAGTAGCAAGCTAAATCCTAGCACCCTTTATGTTGACTGTGAGCCTAAAAGCATTACAGTCAACTTGAACCATGTGTGCAGAGGAAGGTCAAACAAATAGATAGAATCAACACCAGCTTTTGAGTCTATGGAAATATATGTGAATAAACTTCCCACTGATTCAGAGAGCTGTAGCTATGCAGAGCCTCCTTTCTGATGCAGTAAATAGGGTATTAATATCATTCCAGAAACACAATCATGTGAAAAGAATGTGTATTACACTGCAGGCTGAATCCCAAGTTCAGTGATGGACTTGTGATAAATCTATTCTAATCAGTTGCACAACTATGCCCAGTGGCTATGTCTCTCTACTCATAACGTTGCTACGTTTTGGGACGGGGGAGGAGGTTTCAGGAACCAAGATTTCTATAATCTGGAAAGGAATGGTAGGTGAAAAGCATATTATCCCTGGCAAGAAGATAATTGCTCCTTGCTGTCTGTATTTTGCTAGAATGGGAGGGGACAGAAATCCCCTTAGAGGCAGGGATAGCCAAATACTTTCATGTTGGTGATGTGCTTGTGGGGAATGACATAGGGAGTGCCACTACTCTGAGTGGCAAAGACTCCAAATCCAGTGCTCAAGGGAAGTAGAGGGAGGAGGTGGATAATGGGTATGTCAGTGACCAGCAGTCAAGAGGCTAAAATCACTTATTCTCTGCCTGAGAGTGCCATGACTGCAGCTTCAGACCAGGCCAAAGTGGGGAGGGAATCCCTCTCCATGTGGCTTGACAGCTGTGATCCTCTTCTTCATCCCTCACGGCAGCTGCCCATGAGCCGGGCACGCTGCCTTTTTATCCTCTTCAGAGGCTCTTCCCCGGATTGGAAATGGACCAATCAGAGAGAGGGGGGTGTTAGTCCCCTCTCTGGTCTGGGTCTTCACCTTTACCCTGGGTAGGGGTGGGACAAGCCTCCCTCCATCCAGCACCTGATTGGTGGGGATGGAAGAAATGCCACCACCAATCACTTTAAACCTTCTTGAAAATTGGCACACTGGGCTGCCGCGGGCAAGGCTGCCACACTAACATAATGCAAATACCGGTGTGCACATTCTTCTGATATTAAAGTCTTGCAGCTCCCACTATTTCCATCACTAGCCCTGGAGGTCTGTTTCCCAGTAAAGGAAAAATAAGTGACATGGAATCTAACTAACTACTACATGTGTATGCCAGTCCTGGGACAGAGGCAGTGTCATTGGGGATTGGGGGTCACTGCTAAGGGCACAAAGGAGCCAGAGATTCAGGCAAGAGCTTGGGAAGGGGTTCAGGGAGCCAGAAGGGTGATAGGAACATGGAAACAATATCTATCTTGTTGAGCACTGCAAGGACTGCTGCTTATATATAGCAGCCACCCCCAAGCACTTCAACTAGGACTGGCTCAGGACCCTCAAACAGCTGGCTGCCAGTCCCACACAGTCCATCAGGGCCAGCTGGTGGCTTCTCAGTCCACCTACCGCCCTGAGTTATGTCTGGCAGGCCCACCAAGCATGCGATTGATGCATCTGTTCAGCAACTTCAGTCTACCCCCAATGTCAAGGTCCCAGTGCAAGGTGCACTGTCCTTACACCTGCCTCAAAAGATAAACAGGACAGCAGAGAAGCAGCAATGGACCACCTGGCCAAGCTTCTTTTGAGGATTACTGCTTAGCAGAAGCAACAAGGCAGTGTTCTTCACAGGCTAAAAATTTGCTCCTGTGCCTAGAAATGAGCCTGGAGGAATAGGCATAACAGTGACTCCTGCTGTAACAATAATTTTAAGTGCCAAATTCTAGAACCAACTACAAGTAAATCAGCCAGTTATTTCACCTTCATTTTATTGGATTTTTGTGGAGTACACACATCAGAACATTAACTATGATGTACTAATGGTAGAGCTATTATGCAGCTAATGTATGTGTATGGTGATATATGTCCTATGTTCAAATACACGTCTCCTTCAGTGGCAAGTATGAAACCTTGGGAAGGACACATGAAATATAGCTTCAAGGGACAGAATGGCAGGGGAAAAAGGAGGTGCCTTGGGTTTGACAGGTGCTCAGAGAACCTATTTACATTACAGGAAAAGGAAACGAAGTTCAGGTAGATAGATGTAGAGGGAGACATGCTTGCAAAGCATTAGTATTTACAAAAATGCATTCCTGATGAGGAATATTAGCTTGTAGTAGTTAACTGGGGTGTGCCTGCTCCCTCAAGGGAGCGACCAGCCTGCTTTCAGGTGGGGCACAGCGCTAATGAGGCACATGATGAGAAGAGGGCTCAGACTGGAGCTATATAAGCCTAAGGCCTAAGCCCATTAGGGGGCTCTCCCTGGCAGCTGTAGGTGAAGGAGCTCCTGCCCAGGAGAGCTACCTGGGCATGGTAAGCCAACCGCTTTGCTGCCTGCAGGAACAGTGAGGCTCGGGGAGCTCATAAGGAGCCCAGGCTGGGAGGTAGGCTGTATTAGGGACTGAAGGTTTCCACTCTTAAAGAGGCAAAAGATGGTTATCCCTTTGTTTATGTAGACCAGGGGCTCAGGGTTTGTTACAGCTTAAACAGTGGTTTGGCCTGGGATTATAAGGGGTGGTTACCAAGGTCCCATTAGAGCCTGGAGTGGGCAGAATGTAAAGCCACAGGAGCTAGACAGAGAGGGCTAGGGGCCCAGTGCCCAAAAGGGCCAAATATCAGATGGTAACACCTGCAAGTCTTTGGGAAGGTTAAGGAGTTGCACAAGGAGCCCCTAAGGTGATCAGTGCCCAGCAGGGGCACAGGTAGGCTGAGAGGGCCTGCTGGTTTGGGGGCACAGGATTATTATTGAGGGGACTTGGGGACCCCAGTGGGGATTGACATAGGCTCAGGCTCATGTAGAGCCCACAGGCAGCGTCCCTTTTATAATCTTTAAGACCAAAGCATGGCAGGTGATACCTAAGGGAAGGGCCGCAGCCAAGCCTGAGCCAGGCAGGGATTTCATGTCCACCAGTGGACGTCACAGCTGCCCTGTGGCCACTGACATCCTACGTAACTCCATAGATCTCCAAGGCTGTAGATATGAAGGTGGGCATGCATATCTCCCATTTTATCACTAGAAAACACAGGGTCACAAATAGAATCATAGAGAAGTTGGGCTGGAAGGGATCTCCAGAAGTCATCTAGTCCAACCCCTGCCTGAGGCAGGATAAGCCCCATCCAAGTCATCCTGTACAAATCCATTGTCTAACCTCTTAGTAAAACTACCATCAACCCTGACACAACACAAGACATGACACCTGAACCTGCCATACCTGAAGCAGGGGAACACAGCAGCCAACATCCTGCTTCTGTAAAAGGTTGTTAATACAGACTCAAGAGATCCCAGGTAGAGGACCATGCCCCCAACTACAGAGGAAGGCAAACCCCCACAGTCTGTACCAATCTGACCATTGGTTAAAATTCTTTCCTGACCCCACATGTGGTGACTAGTCTGACACTGAGTGGAGGGGCAAGCCCCTCTAGCCAGAAACCTCCAGGTTTAAGTCCCAGCAGGAGCACTGATACAGCCCAGTCCCAATTCCCAGCCTTGGGCAGCTAACAACTAATGCCTTTGAGCTTAACACGCCCCCC